CCGTGGCTAAGTGCCCCGGCGCAGTTTGATCTGCGATTACGCGATCAGATGCGCCGGCGGCACACCACGTGTCCTTCCCTCGGTGCCAGCGGATAAACAAGGGACCGGAGGGGAATGCCGTGTGCCGGCGCGATCACACCACGGGCGTCTGGAGGCAGCCCGTGGCAAACGTTTACTAGTACCTTGGAGGTACTAGTTTTTTAAGGCACATTGTCGGCGGTAAGCCACAGGTGCGCTCCACTTCCCAGATGTTGGGGTGTGATCGCGCCGTGATTGCGCCCGGATAATCCACCCACCATCCGTGCCTCTCCCGCGGCAACTTTGCCGTGTGACCGGGGCCACTGTTATTTGAAAAAAATAATAATCTCAACACCCTTCAGAGTATATAAGAGAACTGCTGGATCAGACCAGCGGCCCATCTAGTCCAGCATCCTGTTTCACACACAGTGGCCAACCACTTGCCCCGGAGGGCCAACAAACAAGGCAAAGATGATTTTGTAAGGAAAAAAACATCCCTCTACATAACTGAGGTAAAGAATGTATAAAAACTGGTCCCAATCCAAAAAAGACACTGGAGGCTAAATTATCATACTGATTTCTTTTTTTTGTGAGTATTTCTGTATATGTGTGTGCTGGCAAACGTTTACTAGTACCTTGGAGGTACTAGTTTTTTAAGGCACATTGTCGGCGGTAAGCCACGGGTGCGCTCCACTTCCCAGATGTTGGGGTGTGATCGCGCCCGGATAATCCGCCCACCATCCGTGCCTCTCCTGCGGCAACTTTGCCATGTGACCGGGGCCACTGTTATTATTTTTTTTTTTAAAAAAAAAAATCTCAACACCCTTCAGAGTATGTAAGAAGAGAACTGCTGGATCAGACCAGTGGCCCATCTAGTCCAGCATCCTGTTTCACACACAGTGGCCAACCACTTGCCCCAGAGGGCCAACAAACAAGGCAAAGATGATTTTGTAAGGAAAAAAACATCCCTCTACATAACTGAGGTAAAGAATGTATAAAAACTGGTCCCAATCCAAAAAAGACACTGGAGGCTAAATTATCATACTGATTTCTTTTTTTTGTGAGTATTTCTGCATATGTGTATGCGCACGCCTGGAAGTCACGGTTAACTTCTGGTAACCCTTGTGGAGTCTGGATGTTCCAGAGAGGTGGCCTGATATTGCCTGCCTCTGCATCCTGGGCGGCCCTGGAATTCTTTGGAGGTTGCCCTTCCAAACACTAGAGCATAACTAGACAGCGTTGGCCCTGCTTAGCTTCCGAGATCTGACGAGATCGGGCTCACCCGGGCTATCCAAGTCATTGCAAGATCATACTGATTTCAACGGGGGCACGAGCACAACTAACTTGTATGGACTGGATCCTGCTGGGTTATATCCAACAAACTGCAAGCAGAGCCTGTAAGGTGTCATTGTGTGGCTACAAAATCACAGTTGATTTTGCACATTTTTTAAAAATTAAAATCGTCAGGTTTATTGTTAAACACAATATATTATCATGTTTTTTTAAAAAAAAAAATCTTGAGGGACATATCCATTTTCTCCTAATTAACCTTTTCAATTACACAGGAAAAGCCATACAAACTTTTTAATGCACTGGAGAATACTGTATTCACATTCACTGGCCACGTACAGAGTGATCAAGTTATTGTGCTTTGTGTAACAGAATTCCAAGTTATTTAAACAGACTTCAGGCCACGGTTCACTACATGAAAACATATATACACCATGGTAAGACGTCATTTCACCAAGCACAAATATGTTTTTCATGGAACTTTGCTTGCCATCTTATTTCACCCAATTTCAAAATTGTTCTCTAGCTTCCCCCCATTAAGGGAACAGAAAAATAACCATGTTAAAACTAATTTTAATGCATTAGCTGAAAGCAAAATGTTACTCCCTGGTTATTTGTTCATGCCTTACATTTATACCTACCCTTTCTTCAAAGGAGCTCATGGAAGCGTAGCTGGATGAGACAGTTCCTCGTTTCACAATAACCCTGTGAGGTTGGCTGGCTGAGAAAGAACGACCGATCCAAGGTCACCCAGTGAGCTTCATGGCCTGAATGGGGATTGAAACTGAGCTCTCTCCAGCCCAAGTCCAACAGTCTAACAGCTACGCCATACTGATTTTCTAGAGAGTGGCCTCGATGGAGAAAGGGAAGCACCTAACACCATTACAGTTGTTGGTGCCCTCTAACAAAGTCTCCACATCGCTTTAGGAAAAACCATTATGCACGAGACCTTGAGAGATGTACCACTGAAACCTTCAGGGTCCCACTCGAAACCAGCTGACCATGCAAGATCTAGACCACACCTTCATTTAACTGACAGAAGAAAGTGTTTGAAGCAGCTTCATTTTGACATTTGTGCTGTGAATATTCCGTGGTTTGTAATGTGTTTGAAGCAGCTTTGTGCTGTGAATATTCCGTGGTTTGTATGAGTTTTATTCGCATTCATGCAATCATCGATGTCTTGTTACATCCATCCGGGGGGGGGGGGGGCTTCCTTCAAAACCAATACTAGACCACCTAGATTCCATGCAGTAACTAACTAACCCATCCACCTTCTTTTTTGATTAACCACCAAGAGCATAACTACACCGACAAGAAGTTACGACCGGCTAGAGCAACAGAAACTTGTGACTCACCAAGGCTGAACAAAGCCGATGGCCACACACCCTGCAAACTCTGATCTACGGAACGTCCTCTCTACCATATTTGCAAGCCCAAGCAAGCTGCAAACAGAGGAAGTCTATCGAGCGCCTGGTGGGCTGCTGTATGCGGCTGGTGGCCTGTGCGCAGCTATAATTCGCAAGTCACTCAGGCCTGGACTGGAGGAAGCAGGCAAATCAATCCAGGGCAATATCACAGTTCATGTTTAGCATTACAGTAGTATAAATTGGAAGGGACCTGGTTAATTGTGAACACATAACACAGCTTGGGTTTCACCCATGCTTAAAGTATTAGGCTGCTGCTCGGCTCCGTACACGTCTTACTGGCAAGCTGAGAATCCAAGATAACCTTCCCGCTCATGTAAACATAAACAGCAGCAATGCACACCTGAGGTTTTAAGAAAAATATCAGTCAGGAATGCAGATCAGACAGAAGAAGTTGCTCCCTGTCCATTTTTGGACTAGTAAATGAATGGCTACTTTAGACACAAGCAGAAAACCCTCACCTCCTCAAGAAGGAAGTTGGAATGTAAGACAGACAAAAATTCAGTATGTGGTATTCGCCAGGGGTCATTTCCTGCAGGAGCGCACAGGAGCGGAGCTCCGGCAGTACAGAGCCCAGGGGGCGGGCATATGCAACAAGCCCCACCCCCTGCTCCCAGCAGCCCTGTCAGAGCAAGCAGCCAGGGAAGTTGCAGAGCC